CGGCGCTCACGCTTGGACAAGCCAGGCGAGGTTGTTGGTGATGAGTCGGGTTGAGGTGAGATGAGAGTTTCAACGCTCACAACTGGGACAAGCTGGCAAGAGTTTAGCGATCTAGACTTTAGATGAGCATATAGGTTTTATAGGGTATATCGTAGGACGCTCACAGGTCTCTCTCCTTACGCACCTGTTCCGCGCTTTGCATACCTTGCGCAACCTTGACATCCTGTGCCTGGTGCCTGGATCCTTGACCCCCGCCGTGTCAAGCTCCGCGTTTGAAGCTGACCTTCTTCTGACATGGGACCGCAGGAAAATCACGCAACACAGGCAAATCTAGCGAAACGGATCCGATGCCTTCCACGAGCACTTAATGCCGATTCAGTTCGGCTGGGCTACATCTGGCCCACATGCTCGTTGGTCAGCAGAAGACCTCAGGGCGAGCTCAGGCGCATCTGGAGCGAAACATGGAGACAACGGCCTTCACTTCTGACCCACGGTTTAGAAGAGGTAAAATGAAAACGAGGTTCAACACCATGTGCTATATTTCTCGAAATGTGCACAGGCGACCCTGGCATTGACAAGCGACCGTCGAACGGAAGCTGCTCCTTCTCTTGCCAGAACCTGTCACCATCCACCTTTCGGCACAAAGTCAGTGACAGCGCTGGAACCAGACAAGTGACAGGATCAACACATCATTCACTTCAGCTCATGTGGTGCTGCCTGCACATCGTCGTCGTCTCCACATCTCGATTCGTCGAAATCCTCCTCAAGCAGGTAGCTGAAGTTAATAAGAGGCGTAACAGCCGTAGGCAGCCAGGTTTGCACTGGCCCAGCAGATGGGGCAAATGCACGAGTATCGCGACAAAATGTGCCCCAAGGTGGTATTGTGATACACACCTCCAACACCCTCGGCCCAGCGACCCGAGAACCAGAATCGCTACAGTGCTACGGCTTCAAGCCCAAAGCTGTGCATTGTCGGTTTCCGCAGTTGCTTCAAGCTCAGGACACCCTTACATGTGGAGGCCTTCATATTAGAACACGGGTTTGGGGTTAGGATATTCCAAACTATCATAACGAACCCTCCAGTAAGGAACGGTAGTGGTAGTTACTCGGGCGACTGCAGAATTGCACGAGTCATACCGGCCCAGAAACCTGCCAAACTCACCTCGCTCCTCGCTGCCGTTCAAGGAGACGGACTCCTCACCCTCAGACTCCCCCCTGCCGAAGAAGTCGCGGCCTCGCCGTTGTGTTTCTGAAAGTCTCTGAGTTTCGTGGCAGGTCTTTAGTGAAGGCTGATCACATCAACATCACAATTCCTTGCGAACTCTGTGGAATTAGACGGGGCCACCGCTCAACCTTGAGAAACGGAAGCACATCTAGCTGATGCTCGCGCTGAATCTCAGCACACGTCCAACGGGACTTCGAGAACAGTTCCCGGAAAGGACCCGCATGGAACACCCCGCCAGCACCTCGCGTCCAGGACTCGCCACTGAGTACCTTGAAGTCACGAACCGCAAGGTTTCCCGTGACCCGTAGCCCTGAACCCTACACCGTCTTTAAGGACACATTACATCGCTCGGTCCAGAGTCGGCCTGTGGTATGCACAGCACTCACTGCAGTACTTCTGATCTTCCCTGACCCCAATCAGAAGAAGGCCAAGAAACACCCCACAGCTCCACGGTGGTGCTGGAGGGTGCGCTGGCGTTGATAGGGGCACCTTGGTTAGATGTGAGCAGGCGTCCACTTACTGACACCTGCATGCTGTTCTCATAAAGTATACCGCAAAACCCAAGTCGGATATTGAGGCCCCAATGATTGACGGTCCATGTCATAGCTAGTCAGCCCAAGATCTCCTCATCGAGTCGTCCCTAGCTTGCAATTTTCATAGTCGACCAGGACCTTCCTGGTACCCTCAAATCGGGGGCTTTGCGGTCCCAAATTACGTGTGTTTAGGAAGTTTGCAGTGCTAGGCTGCCGTCTTCCAGGTAGTCTGTGGAGAGCAGGACCTTCGACTGGTTTAGGTGGCAGCCCGACTCGGTTGGCGCCTCAGGGCATCAAAAAGGAAAAGGACCCGGCTGCCTATTGCCAACTGCTCAGACTCTGCACCAAGTCTCTGCTAAGACTGCAGTCTGCAGTCTTAGCAAACCATCGGCAACAAGAGGCTGCGAAGCCAAGCAGTGATCAACAATATCATAACATGCGATGGCCTTCCAATGAAGCACCATCAGCAACTTCGGCCAGTTCTTGCAACGCCAGCCATCACCGATGAGGCCAGAGCGCTGCAGTCATCTTTCACACGGATCCTAAAACGCGACAGGAGCCTGTCCATCTGTGTTATAGCCGAAGTTTACTTGCGTCAGAACCCTCTGTGCTGAGACACATGAGACACGGAGGCTTTTTTGGGATGCTGGGTTAAGGGCCTTCTCGAGGGATACTTGCTGGTCGGCAGCCAGTTTGAACCCGTGGCGTCCAGCACAGCTTGTTGAATGACGTGTGTTCCCTAAGTGCCTTGTTCATGGCCCAGCCGCAGCCTTCATTCCTAAATCCCAAAAACTTACTCCAAAACCCTAATCGCTGCTTCTGAGCATGCTTGGGCGCATGCACTGCTGACTTGTGATGAGACTGCTTCACCAGGTCATGGCAACCATGTAGTGTGCGGAAAAGTGTTAGTTTCACGCGGCCGTACCAAGTATGAACTTATGCTGTTAAATATGTCACTGTATGTGCTCATGGTTGCGAACATGTGTGCATGTATGCCAGCATACATGTATGTATGTATGTACGTA